GCACAGACAAAACTTTGGGACAATACACATACAGTGCAAGTACAGGTTTATTTCTCAAATGAAACCTGGTTTTCAACATCTTATTCAACAATTAAGCTCTCTGTACTTTTTATCACTACAATGTTAGGATATCAATGTAACATCATAACCGGTTGAGAGTGAGACAGACTTCAAATTCAGCTGAAGCATCTGTCATTCTAATATGTTTTATCACGACCCTATGAGTCAAACAGCTCTGAGCCACAGCAGGTGTGAATGAGTGAGTACGTTTGAGAGGTAATGTTTGTGGATCACAAATCATAATCAAGATTATTAACGTACCTGCTTTTCAGCAAATCAGTTATGACTACTGGACGAACAGGGACGATTAACTGAAAAGAATTCAGCTGACATTTAGTCATCCTCATGTCAACCCGACATGATCCTTGTGGAATTAAACCAAATGAATATCTCAAAGATCACAGAGAAGCTACCAAATCTTTTCTGACTTAAATTAAAGAAAGCAACATGAAAGGCAAGAAGGGCTTAAAAAGGATCAATCTTTAGGCATATGCCTCCTACTCTTGAGATGAGCCACAGCATTACACATCCCATGAATGTGTTATATGAGTGTGTTATATGAGTGTGGGCAGTTCTGTACAAAACCAAAGACAGCATCCGAACGCAGCCCCCATTATTTATGAGGGCGGTCAACGTGCTACAATCTCACCTGTATCTTTGGCAGGAACATATGGTGGTGTTGGCATAGAGAAATAAGGATTAGGACAGTTTTTTTTAACCTACTTTAGAACTATCTAATCTGTATTCGGCAGGTAGAGCAGGGGATGCATTAGAAAATAGACAGGTAGACAAGTGAAGCCTGTGTGCCTCTTATTGTTGTCAGGCTAGTGCAGGTGTGGCAACTTCCCTATTTAAATGCATAAAACTCATTAGAACTCAAATTTCATAACACTAAAACCAGTAGGTAATGTTTGCTAAGGTTAACAACACCATAGGCTATTCCTATGGTTCCCAGTTGTTAAATTCTCTAAACATAAGAATTAAACTTTGGCACTTTTTGAATTTGGTTCTGCTCTTGTCGAGCCATTTTGCATATTGCCATCATCATCATCGTCATTTGTTTTGGTACACCTTGATTTGGTATCATATCTTCTCATCATTAAAAACAAATAAATTGCTGAAAAACAGGTTGTGGTACACTTAGCCTATAATTTTGTTGTGAAATTTTTTACTGATTTTCATGAAGTAAACCCAAGAATAACTTTCGTATTTTAAGTAATATTTTAAGATAAACACACACTGAACAACATAGATTTATTTGATTATAGACATAATTCATTTTTTTAATCATATTAATTTAGTATAAAATATGATATGAGTAAACGTTCCTCAATATACCATATACTATTTTAATAATTTGAACATCTCACAGTCATCTCAATCATCATCGTATTGCACTGCATTTGCATTATGTTTTGCCCCAACAATAAAAACTACAGCACTTTAAACATATAGCCTACAACTAAGAATTTAAATATTATTGAGCGATATAGAGTGAAAGCTGATATTTATATGCATTTTATGTAGCCTGCTATACTGTTAGAAAGATCTCACTGATTCACATTAGAATTTCATCCTACTTTTTAGCCATATACTAGCAACTGCACCAAATTGCATATTTCTGCTCAGTTATATATATATATATATATATATATATATATATATATATAATGAGCCATTAAAGCATATATAATAATGAAATGGCCTAACACATGCCCTTTTTATAGGTTCAATAAAATGTTCCATTTCTGATTTTTCTGACTATTATTTCATATGTCAGGCTTTTCAGGGTTAAGCATCAATTATCATGAAAAAAGATCCCTCAGGTTTACAGCAGCTGTGTGAAGGTTACAGTGTTTCCCTCATCAAAAATTCATTTTTCCTGAAAGGGCAGTAAAAGGGCAAGGGCAGTCCCTGGGTGTTTCAGCATGAAACAGGCAGCGATAACCAGTCTCCTCCCAGTAATGCTACTCAGACCTCCAGGTGAAAAGCAAACAAAAAAAGCTTCACTCTTCACAAAATACAGTACAGCAAAGCACCAAAACATGTAAGTTATCAAAGGCACAAATTGCTGTGTATGACTTGTTCATTAACATCTACATAATAAAAATAAAATCCAAAAATGAGCTGCCTTTATTTGATTGACTGTGAAGACTAAAAGTGAAGACTTTTGAAAAGTGAATAAATTTGCATATATTGACAATTGCATTAGCTGAAATACTGACAGTTCAAATGTGTCTCTAAATGTATCTATTGTTATGGAGCACAATACTGCTCCATGGATCAAAGAGCGACCAATTCAGCCATCCAAAGCAAATGGGGGTTATTTTAGAAACCGTTCTAAATAATATAAATTCAGAACTCTTGTCTCAAAATTGTTTCTCTTTATGAAAATTTCTTCAATTCAACAATACTGCCAGTGTTTCATTCTACAATGTAATTTCCAGATGATTTTTTTGTAATGTAAGTTCATAATACCTATACTATAGCATTGTAAAAAAAGTAAACATTACTTAGAAAAGAATATATAAAATTGTAAACATTACAAAGAATTTGCATAAAATCTAAATGTATTCACTTCATGAATATAATACATTAAGCAAAATTTAGAGATAATACATTAAGCAAAAATTAATTGTTATATTAAAAGAGCGCTATTTCCATGCTGTAAGAGACTTTCAGAATTCAAGTAATAATACTATGCATTGTGTACATTGCTGTTTGACATGTTTCAAAACTTAAAGTGAGTGACAGCATCTGCCAAGGCAACAGCAGAATTTCTGGGTATTAAGATCGTAAAGTTCACTCTTTTTAGTGAATCGGTTCTTTTAAACTGTCTTTTCAATAACTTGATTCAGGAACCGATTCAGTGATTCATTCCAGAATTCGGGGTGATTGTTTTAATGTCAACCGTATTTCTGGTTCTTAAAAAAACGAACGCTTTGTTTGAGGTACTCATGTTACCAACAAGTTTTGCAGTGTCCCAGGATAAATTCATTTTACAAACAAAATAATCAAATATCAGTTACTACCATTTTAATTACAGCAAACCTAACTGTACTCCCAATCAACAGACACAAAGTAAAACCAACATAAGATCAGTCGATAACTTAAACTCGGTTCAGATTGATTCAGTCCTATTTGCGATTCGGTTCGAATGATTCTTTCCAAAGAACCGAAACAGACATCACTATGAATTATCGCTCGCAGCTCTCTCGCTTTGTTCTCTCCTGCGCAGCGCACAGATGGGAAGTGAAACTCAAAACCCCCCAAAAGACGGATATGATGATTCTATTTTTATCGAAATGTTTTAGAAATTTGTTCATAGTTCATAAAATGCATAAACAAATTAAAAGATGCAGATGTCGAGCATCCTTTTTATGCCACAAGGCTGACAAAGAAACATGATGTTGGAGTCGTGCAAGCACAAAGGGATGCAAACAGTGTTTTTCCATCTTCAAAGACTGACATTACAAAATGTATCTTCAATAAAATAATTACACGCATATTGAAAGCGTGTGTGGTTAGGCATGATTTAATCTACTATCCTAGTCTAAAACATTGGGGTTGGTGATTTTTTCCCCACATTATTAAATATTTTTGCAATTAACGCACATACTGTAGAAGTGTACATGCATGAATGCCAATGCCAAAGTGACCACTCGAAATTGATGTTTTGCCTCTACAACAGAGACACTAGATGGAAATGGAAGAAATGCCACTGTCTATACTCACGTATGGGCGCAGCTTGCGATGCTGACAGGTTTGTGGTACACCTCCAGACAGATGGGACAGGAGAACTGGCTCTCCAGGCTTTCCCCAGGTGCGGCTGCTGCGGCTCCATTTTGCTGCTGATGCTGCCTGAGCTGAGCAGCAGACACAAAACTGCGGAACATCGCCATTATGAACACGGACCGCAGAATGAACCACTAATACTGCCGATGCAAATAGGATTCCGTGGTTTTAACGAATGTCTCGCAGGGAAAATGTGATTTACACGACATTAGATACCGCATCTGCGATCTCCAACAGTGTTAGCCAAGGAGAACACGCCGTTGTTCGAAAGAAGTAAACATTACATGGTAGCTTTAACGGAACGGTCTCGATCCTATTAGACCAACAAAAATGATGGGAGTTGTAGTTTTTACTGCGATCATTTACAGCGAGTGACTGTTTAATAAAACTACATTTCCCAGATATTGCAATCATAAGAATTCCATGGAGCATAGCTAGATGGCGTCAACATGAATGTAGCGAATATGACACATAGGTCTACGTTGTCAATAATAAAAAAAATAGGAATGAATATTATTTTATATGATAAAAAAAGTGATAAAATTAGAATATTGTGAACATTTATTTTTGACTGAAAACGCTAACCCTTTATTAAAGTCAGACGATGCATACTCTAACTTACAGCTAAAATATAATTAAACATACAAATAAATAATAACAACAACAGCACGTATTTTTTATATTTTATATTAGAATGATATAGGAATTTCATACGAATGATATAACAGTTTTAATGTCAATAAACAAAATAAATAATTTTACAAATTTCAGAATATTAAAAAATACATAAAAATGCATTAAATAATAATAAAAAAACTTTACATAAGACCCAGTGTGCTTGCTTTGCTGTCCAAATCAAGAAGTTTGTGTATGTGTATGGAATTTACCAATAATTACACAGAAAATAAACATAACGCATTAAGAAAACATATAACATTAAAACATTAATGTCAGGCGATGTGAAAATTAAACGTAAAAATAGCGTTAATAACATTGAAGTAATCAAACGACGCAAACATATGGGCGTGGTCACGGAACGTCATCAAAAGGGGTCAGGAAAATGCAGTATTGATTTAGTCTGTAAACCTATTTTCTGATCCACACTCCGGAGCAGAAGGTGACGGTAATGCACCAATACGCTGGATGCCAACCGCCGTAAAAATATAAGGAGAAGGAGAAGAAGAAGAAAATGAAGTACTGTACGCACGCGTGAAAACAAGTCGAGCGCACGCCAATATGTGTCAGTTAAACGATTCCATTGAATAAGTATTGAGAGAATTGCACACTTCTAAACGGGCTGAAGAAAAGCATCGTATGGTTGGACACGTTTTGTCTCTTAGTTTGTGAATTTGAGGCGGTCATGTGTCAAGTTGAAGAAGACTATAATGGTCTGGAGTGTAACCAGGAGAAGATAACTGTGCCGACGTAAGCTGAATTGAACAACCTCTGTGTGTGACAACAAATAATTAAGAATGGTTTTACAATGTTTTGGACATCTATGGTAATTATTGTACCATTATATCGTTGCGGCTATGACTCCATAATTGTACCAACACCACAGTACCTTGTTGTAAACATAATGTGCAAAGTGTACTATGGTGCAATGGCGGTACTTTGACACACGGCATGATGCTGAATCGCAATCATGTTCTTGCACATTAATATGGTACTAAAAGAATACTATAGCACTACAGTGATTCATATTTTTTTGTTTGTTCTAATTGACAAATTGAACAAACTCCTATATGTGTGACACATGTTTAGGCTTAACAGGAAGTGTATGAAATGTAAGGAGGGAACTGCTGTGCTCATCATTCGGGTCAATGATGCATTTTGCCGGTAGGCGATTAATTCATCTTCTCAATGTGTCACTTACACTTAATTATGTGATTCAGCCTTATCAAAAACTTGATCTATCTGCTTACTAGGTCCTGCTTTAAGGAGTACTTCATACACAAGTTTCGGGCCATGCTGGGAAAGAATCGTGTCATCTTTCCTCAGGAGAAGGTAAATATATATATATATATATATATATCTATATA